GACAACCTAGAGGATGTCGACTGACATCAGCCATTCAACGATCAAATAAATCTATATCGGTATTGCTGAACACCACTTTATGTTCATTAACTGATTAAGCCATTCATTGTTAGAAACTGTGCAACTTGAAAGTTGCTATATTTTTCATTATTGGAATGTAATGATTGAAATTATAGAGTAAAATAATCGATAGTTATCTATTTACAGGAATCTGGAATCTGGGGAATCAATGGTACCACTGGGACATCATATCAATCACTGTGGCACTTTAAATAAAGCAGTAGTAAAAGACTAGTCGTTATCGGTTGTACGTAAAATGTTATCGGCGGAGTTTTGTAATTCTGTGGAGAACCCCACTAATGTTGACGAATATCGAATTCTAGGGACAATTTTAATCATCCGCTTGAAGATGTATTCTAAGAATTAAAACTGTTAAAACATAATATGCATTGATGCCATTAGCCGTGAACATATCGTTAATTAACACAGCCTGTAGTTGACAAAGAACAAATACAAATTTCGCTATATAAAACAAACGGAGTCAATTTCCCACGATATCTGCATAAACTGGTGAATGCTAACAATATTTGTTTTGTTAAGATTTAATGTGGACGCGTAAAGACTGAAATCCTATACATACTGACCCCTGAATTATGATATTGGAAAGGTGAACATAATACGTGAATCGTGTTCGACGTCTTCTGATAACTCTATTTGGCATTTCTCAATGATTCATTTTCGCAATTAGATTACATATTATTTAATATCTGTTTTCTTGTAGTAAGTCAATTTCCCATTAAATTAGTTTATGTGATTACATTTTAAAAGTCTTTACAGAATTGAACCTATTTCATTATAGGGAATGTGATACACAGTGTAGCCCACTCTCATCCTTTGGCCGATACTGTTTGAAGTAGTTATCATCTCTGATACTCTTTGTAGTTGGAAGCAGACTTTGTGTCAAAAAGTGGACCAAGGACCTGTAGAAAAAACGAGGCAGTTTCATATTCTATAGCATCTAATAAATGAAATTACCATATGCTGGCTATAATATAACACCGATATTAGTTTAATATGACTTACTATGAAAATAAAAAGGTGTTATATTTGTACATTCAATTTAAAGGAAGAATACGTGTAAAATAATGGGCTTTAGTTATTTCTAGAAACCCAAATGATCATTTTATTCGTAATTTTCATTGTAAAAGTGGTAAAACCCAAATAGAGTCAGTTAATAGATTGTAGTCTGACAAAAACCATGGCTATGTTCATCCGTGTAGAAAGGAGGTGCATTAAAAAAATCCCTGCGATAAGTTTTTGATCATCAAGTTTTCAAAAATCAACTGGAAATGGTTTTGTAGGGAGGCGCCAGATGAAGTTCTTTCCAAGATATTGTAATTTTCATTCCACTTGAACTCTGTGTTTCATCCAACAATATTATATTAGCCAAATATATCACGATTTTCACAGCCCAGATGATTGAGAAGTTTCTAAAGAACCCCCTCTTTATTAATTGCGGTTTAGGCACAATTCAAGAATTTTTTCTGATATTGACATGTCAGATAAACCTAATCAATGTACAACAACAGAACACCTCACGGTGATTGTCAAGTGTTGTCTTAATCACAAAGTAACCATGTTACAGTTTCACCTATATAACATCATCACTAATGAACTTAATTACAAATGTCAATACAATCGAGAAAGAAACCCCCCAGCTGAATTTTTCTTTTTGGGTCTTTTGGATACTGATGTTGGTGGCAGTTAGTTATTCGTGCCGTACTTCGCCACTTAATAAAGATACTTCTAGTGTCCAGGAGTTAAATTATCAATAAAATACTTTGACATCAAACTCATAAAATCCAACCATTCTTAATTTCTCACGTGAACAACTATGGAGGATAAAGCCTGTTTTATTCCTGTTGTTTCACGACTTGTAGGCCCTATTAATTAATTTTTCATGAATTATTAATATAAAATTTGATGGAATCATTGATGTCGAATAACAACTCCATACTATTGCACTGTATATCAGAATGAAAACAGTTGGCAAACAAGTACGAGCGTACCATAGAGTAGGAACCGAGCATGCCGTCATCGCAACAATCTTGGTATTGGTGCGCCATATAAAATCAATTAATTCACAATTTTATCGAATAGTGTCGCCCCAAGAAGACGAAATGAAATGAAATGAAATGGGGTTTAACGTCCTACTGTTTTGCTCTTAAACTGGGCTAATGAAGACGGGCATGCGCCATACAGTGTGCTATGAGGGAAATTTTGCCCGGGCAGCGGCGCTACGGCCTACTCTTGTATCGAATTCCAACTGTCGAGGGATCTTTTACGTGCAAGTCAATGTGAACACTGGACCTCGGTTTTTCGTCTCATCCGAACGACTAGACAGCTGTCCTTGTCAGGCCCTCCGTCCTGTATCACTGACAAGGGGGAACCACGCCGGAAAATCTGGATGAACTTTCTCGGCCAATGCAGGGATCGAACACCCGTCCTCCAGGCTAAAATGAAAAAGGTGGTAAACGGTGGAATTTATAAGTATCTACAACATCTATGGTTTTCTATAAAATTTAATTATGAGACGTTTGTATTATATGTTTAAACCTACTCGTCATGGTAGTTGTGATTTATATATCAACTGATCAAAATGTATTTTAATTGCAAATGGAGCTGATTATAATATAGTCAAACAGTGGACTTTACATTTGTCCTAGTCGTATCACACATTCATTATTTGTTGCGACCAAACGTATTATATCTAACCATGTTTTTATTACAATCCCGTCTCCTTTATAATACGATTTCATATCATTTTATTTCCTATGTATATCAATATTTATCACCCAATAATACATTCTACAGTAGATATCGCTTGTGTGATATATTTCATATTCTACTGCGATATCTCCTTAGGAGATATCGCTTTACATGAATTTGATTGGTCAGTTGAAAAGGAACTAATTTTTTGTTACTTTATCAACTTGTGTTGATATTTTTTGATTTCAAAAAAGACTGGTAGGATATTCTCTATATATCACACAAGCCAATTTAAAGTATATTGTTTTTAAAGATGGCTGCCTAGTGGTTGCATTGTATCTTTCTCTCCAAGTTTCATAAGTTTTTAGTCTTCTAGAGTTCATTTTGGATTACAAATTTTTACATCAGACAAGATACTACTATTGTGCATTCTTATATTTGGAGTAACTATAGAATATATTTATCGTTTTGATCAAATTCAACACAAAACATTTGTATAGTGAGATTCATGATAATCACCTACAGCAGGGATGAGATGTTTTCTATAAGTAGAGAGTTGCGGTTTATAAACTGTTTCCTGAACTTTCTCTCACTCAATCAAGGCGTTACTGAAACAAGTTAGCAGCCTATTAAGACAAGGATGAAAAAAAAAACAGAAAAAAAACTTCACCATAAATCAACTAGGTCGGTGAACTCTAATAACCTTATAAACGTTGATACTGGTAGTACTGATCTAATACACAATACAATTACTGTTGTTAATGTTTTTCAGCGTCATGAAAAATTATCTCATTCGAAAAGGTCACCTATTTATACCAGTCTTAGATTAACTTCTTCATATGATATTTCTCAGTGCCTGAATTGTACTCTGTGGAATGGAGGCAGACCACCATTAATTTCCCCATTGACTTCAATGTTAATTCTGGCCTCTTTGCCCACCTCCAACTTTTTCCCAAATTTTCGTTGGGCTGAATGCTTTTCACTACAGACAGAGAAACAAACAGTCATGTCTTTGCACTGAAATTTGTATGAGGTTGACCACCAAAATTTTGAGATACACAAACTTGAAGAAGCATACTAAAAACATGTAACTAGTTGCCGTACATATCGCCGTAGCTAACCTGATAACCCTGTTATCCTTCCGCCTCAAAATAAATCATGAATATTTACCAAAACCTGGCAGAAAATGTTAATTCAAACCCTCTTCGTCCATTCTAGACCAAAAAATTAAGAAAAATGGGCATGCAAAAGGGGAGAAGAGAAAGAGAGAGAGAGAATTGCTATAAATAGACGAACTACAATTCGTTGGGTACCGAGATGGTGAAATTTAATGGTGGTCTGCCTCCGAACGCTCGTTCCTTGGGCTGTAAAACTGTTTCTTTGTGTGCTTCCATTGTGTCAAATCATACTGTCGTCAAAAAGGTGGTGGGTTAGCCATGCTTACCAGATTTGAGGGTAAAGTAAAATACTTCTGGGACTTACACATCCAGCATGGAGGTGATGGACTACAATATTTACAGTGGACAAGATCTTTTACATTATCATACTAATCTATCGCCCCTCCCCCCACCCTACTCCATGACTGTGAAAATGTTCTTATCTGAATTCGGTTCTCTTATGGAATCCGCTATGATAATTACCACATGAATATTTGGACAATAATACCCACGCGTTATCCTTCAATAACTGTCATTCTAGTATCAACTATTAATCTGTATTTGAACTAACAAACATAGTGACATGATAACAATCGTTAAAAAAACACAAAGACAACTATATTAATGTCCACCACAACGCAATTGAATTTTTGAATTTTAAAAAATAGGATGGTAATAACGTTAACCTGGTCATTTGAAAACTAATGCTAGGTTCCCACTATCACGATTCGCGCTACGATTGAAATCGTGTTTTTAATCGTGGTGATCCTATCAGGTCTTGTCATATATTGAGGCCAGTCGTAGCAATCGTGTTGATCGTTTCGAAACGTATCTGCACGTACCAGGTCGTGGACTCAATAGGGACAATCCTATCGTAACGCATCGCACGACAGTCGAAACCTAGGATAAGATATCGTAATTATTATTTTTAACGGTACGAGTGTGTGTAACCTTAGCAATGGCGACCTATTATTAAGTTCATATTAAACGTCTTTGCCGGCGTATCAAAAACAACATATATATATTATTATATTTCTGGGTTTTTTTTATTATATGAATATATTTACAAAGGAGGGGGGGGGCACGTATACACTAACCATGTTTATTTATAAATAAATCCATTTAAACACAGTAACATTCAAAAACATGAAGCAATTACGCTACTCTAACCTACAATATTTCTCAAATGAATAAACCAGAAACAAATAAATATCTTATTTACCCATTTAATCTATAGAACATAAAATGTCTTAACCTTGATTTGAAAACTGTAACATTAACATTAGGACACACATTTCGCAATCGATATTGAAACTTAAATAACGTAAAATTTAATAATAAATCTATCCTTACAGTTAATAAAGACAAATGAAGGTAACGAACAGTCTTCTTTATTGGATTGCAATCTATAAAAGGACTGTTGCATATGATCAACAAAAGTAGTGGGAGAACAATGAAATTATAGACATCAAGTAAATCACATCAATGGACACTTAAAAATTTGGGCTGAATACATAATTTGCTGCATGTGAAATGACAAGATTGATTCGATAGTACATATAACATTTCACCATCCTGTTGTGGAAAACTAAAAATGATCAGATATTTCGGTTATATATTCTGCTTTTGCTTAGTTCCACATTGGCAAATAATAAACGCGTTAAATCTGAACATTTCAATACACCATTCTGCACATTATCTTTAATATCATTTTTGTCTTTGAACTGGCATTATTGTTTATACTTCAGAGTATTTACTTCCGTGGATATTAACAACACCCGCCTCGTACACACAAAAGGACGTAATAAATTGTATACATTATTCAATTAGTCATAAGGTATGGATGTAATTTTTGTCATGGGACTAATTATCAACAACACTAACGTGGACACAGACGTAATTGTTATGAAAATAATGAAAAAGAATTTGTCCATGACTCTGGCGATCTCCTGCCATTCCACAACGGCCAACCGTTCACTACGTCCCCGTTCGTACGATTCCAGTACAAATTTTAAATATTTTAAAATTTCTCGTTCGAGCTCGGTATTTTGTGTCTGGAGACCATTTGTCCCCGAGCCTACAGTTTGTCTTGATCTCTGACCTGTATCAACGAGTCCATTGATATTAAGGTCAACACGAGATCGATCACTTGGGTTATTGTTTTCAATTTTGCCGGATTCAATTAAATTTTCGCTCTCTCCCATTGGTCGAGTCAGGTCTTTAAAAGCATCCATTTTGTTTATATAGTTCAGGCGAACGCACATTAGTTTCCCCAAAATCAAACAGGACATTTTCACAAATCGTGGTGGTCGGTGAAGCAAAACTCCTTTATGGTGACAATTCAGAACAAACACTGACAAGGCGACAGACAGGGCACTCATTGCCATGATCACTGTAAGATAAATTCCTAGAAAATAAAATTGAAAGAACATTAGCCAGATCATAAGTAGGGTATTTATCTGAAGTATGTCTCGAGTGGGCTTTTAATTCAAGTTGGCATTGGGTATTTGTAACCTTGATTGAAGAAGTGTCTTTGGTGCTAAAAAAATCCTCATTAAAGAAGGCTTACTTTTAAATTGCCATTGTGGACTGCTATGAGTCAAACTTGCTCCTCGGCACAACAATGGGTTGTTAAAACTATTTAAAGACTTGAAAATAATACTAGGCCCTGTAGGATAAATTGATTCAGTACCGTAGTTAGAGTTTGTGCCGTCTGGGGAACTTAAGATTGCCCCCGCACCACGCTACTACAGATACACACGCAACCACGCAACGCAATAGAATACACATCACTGGTCTTCACTGCACTAGACCAAAAGCCCCACTACCCCTAAAAATCGAGACTTCGTTTATTATAGTGGTATGGCGATGGTACGAGACTATGTAAGCTGTTTTTGTCAAAACTTCAAACATTCATAACTTTGCCCAGAATAAAGTAATTTGACTGAAATATTCAATATATTTAATTTTTAGTTATCTATTATTGAACCAGCTATTTGATTATATCTTTCATAATGCATTTTTAAGTGAATTAAAATATGACTGACTTACCAATAAGTGGAATATATTCTGACGTAGGTGGCATGTTTTCAGCAACCAGCAGCATAAAGACTGAGAAAGCCAACAACACGGTTAAACCGAGTGTTATTTTTTCTCCAGAATCTGGTGGCAAGAGAAACCCAGTCATTGAAAGACTGGACAACAAAATACACGGAATAATCACATTGAAAAAATAATATAGAACTCTTCTGCGTATATGGAGATAAAACGTGACGTCGGGGAACGGCTCCTTACAACATGGATAATAAATTACATTTCGCACAACTTTTGTGTTGATCAAAGTCCATTCGCCATTATCAACATAATTCTCAAGGTCCATGTCGGTTGTTCGATTAGACACGTCCACCTGGAATCCATCATAAGCCCATGATCCTAGTTTCAATTTACAGACCTGGTCATCAAACGGAAAGTACGTGATATCCATCTTACAAGAACTGCGCATACGTACTATCGGAGGCCAGAATACTTTGCCGTCGGATTCAACCATCGCCAGACTTTTCATGTAACCTTTGTTATGATTATCAACGCTGAAATAAATAAAAATAAAAATAATGAGGTCTTGATGAGAACATTAACCGACATGTTGATCTATAGATAGGACCACCATCCTCTCAAAGTATTTGTCAGGTCCGGAAATAATTCTTCATCAGAAAATCATCTTTTATCAATAGATAATCTATCAATTTTCCGTCCTGAAAAATCAGCGATCAGTGCAATCAGTGTTGCTTGAATTGTGTTTTTCTTTATTTTTTTTTCTTCCGAGGACAATCAACAGCGAGGACCAACTTGATAGAATACCCATAAACATAATTTAATAAAATTTAATAAAAAAAACATTTAATAAAAGACTATGAGTGGCGCTGGCGCTTATCATCGAAAACGTAATATTATTTTTTTTCAGCTTTAAATTGTAATACTTGGACATTTTCGTTCACTTTAACAGTATACATGAAATGAAATGGGGTTTAATGTCCTACTGTTATTTAACAATATAAGCCGAGATATCAAGTTCATCTCTTATTGATCTGCCGTTACTACAAGACAAAGTAAATCCAACCGAAGGAGAATACTTTATAAAGGATCAACTAGGATTATTTGAAAACCTCCATTTTGCAATGTTTTCAAATGTAGGCCATTACACATCTTTTATTACTGTTCTAATTACAGAGATATTTTGTATAGAAAATGGTATGCTGGTTAAATATTGACCAAAGGTATTAGTTTATACCTGTTATATAGAACAATATCCGGAAGCCATAATAATTTACAAGGGATTCTTATAATACTAATGTTATTAAATTCCTCCTTGTTCCACGTCAGTTTCTCATCAAACCATTCCTGAAAATATATAAGTTTTTTTTATCTTTAAGACGGAATATTGAGGTGGCATTGGGAAGTTTAATGTTTTGTTCTTTCATGGTCTCTGCAATTCTCACACTTATTTTAACGGTCAAATTGATCTTTGACAATTATTTCATTCACTTGAATAATTTCAGTCCATGGTCTCTGTGAATTCAAACACGGGCTGCCTATACATTAGATAGTGGCTGTGACATTTCTATCTCGTTGAACAACAAGGCAAATAGTAAAAACTATTAGGTTGGAAAGGGGCGTTGTATCCAAGATGATTATTACAAATTGGTAATACATACGGCGTCGAGTTGTTACTGGTAGGAAGTGGATCAATGACTCTACTACGCGTATTAGACCTGGGGCATGTTGGTTTTGCAAGGGTTTATGAGTGGGGGGGGGCGGGGGGAGGGGTATGTAATGGGGCATTTTGGGTGAAAATAACCAATAATTGGCGGAAAGTAATCAGATATTTTCCGGAAATTATCCTTTATAAAACCGAGCACCAATTTTATATGCTAGTACGTACACCTAGATCTATGGATATAATGTTGCTTTCTAGGAACGTAGTGCGATAGACATTCAGAAGGATCCGGTTTAATTTCAAATAATTTGTATCGGAAACTAAGTAGCCAATAAATGTTGCGTTTCTTTATATGCTCAATATCCATCAGCCTACATTAATATTATATAGCTGTGAAAATCTTTCTATTCTTTCCAAAAATTTGCATTTATACACAATCATGTATTATTGCCTTCGGGTTATTCTAAACGATGTTAGTGAGTCATTAAATATAACGCTCTTATATGTCGATATTTTCTATCAATAACGTCTTCAATTATTGCTTTCATTTTTTCTAAATTTTCAATTTAGTGACATCGTAACATTTGTTTAAAAAGAAATTGACTAAGAAAGAAAATCCCCGTTTTCTTTTAATAATATTTTATTAACAAAAAAACCTTCGTGATCAATAAGTGCCAATCGTCAAATAATAAAGAAAGGAACCAAGAAAACAAATCAACATTATTGACGTATTCATCATAATTTAACACGCATTTCCCCATAAAGCCATTCGAATCCCCGTTTGTACGTGACAAGGAGTAGGGCTGCCTGTCCAACCTCGTGTGTTTTCTCCAGGTCCTGCGTTTCCTCCCACTGCTAAAGACCACTGTGTGCAAACGAATTATTGAAATAAAAAAATGAACCATGTGTTAGTCCCGAAATGACCTAATTTTTGTCCAGTGGACGTTAAAATGCATCATGATCTCGAGCTTAAGACATTGCGTAATATATTGTAAAAACACTCGGACCATTAAACAAGACATAGTAACGTGCTACAGGCATGTTCCTTAATACCCCGATTTCATGGGTAGTGACGTAAAACAAAAATAGTCGCAAAAACGGAAAACGTGCATCATTAATATCTCAGATATTATGGATATCATAAGAGACTTTGAATATCGGCAAAACAAATATAATGTGCGTAGTATATAATTGTCCACAATTAGCACTTCAATCACGATTTATGATTATACGAACCAGATAAATACTTAGTGCAAATTGATTAAAGTAAGGTGAATTAGTTCAGTAATGAGCATTGTATGAACATCAAAGGTACTGAACTATACTGATGATGGAACAAGAATATAACTGTTTTATCAGTACGCTATATAACATAACACATGAATCTCATTTCAATGGACACAACAAAATTGTCAAACTGTCATTACAAGAAGGAAAGAGACAATTAACTATAGAATTAGCTATAGAATAAGACATTGTCTGATAGTTTACACAGTACCAATAGATTAGTGTCTGGCTATGTCATTTGAAAAACGGAGTAAGACAACAGAGAATATAAAATATATATTATACCTATAAGTTCTAGAATACTATAAACACCCCCAATCCGGACGCACCCGGATCCATTCACTTGATTTGATTTTGTTTGTTGCTTAGTGTCGATATAGTTTGTGTTTCTTTTGCACAGGTTTATCTTTACTATTAAAAGTGCTAAGTCCCTTAGATAAAAAAAATAAAGTATTGAGTTGATTTGATCTTATGTGTTACTTCAATTAGTGATTTTTAAATACATATTCTAATGGTTAATTCATTCTGTGTTGACACAGACATATTCGGTACACCTCAACATTGACTATATCTATTACCGTAAAATGTTTGACAATATTTTGGTATATCGGATACCATTTTTACAATTTCTTGGGTGTTGTCTATTATCTTTGATTCGTAAGCCCCCCAAATACTTTTATTTTTAGAGAATGCCTGTTTCCGTGATTTACGAAACGTGTTTATGATGTTTATCTTTTACACGAAGGATACGGTCAAATTTATTATGGAATGCCAGAAGCATCTTCGTTATGCTATTGATTATGTGAAACATGTATCGAAAGACACGGAATGATTTATTATGGATCATCACCATATACATATCATACGATGATAGCATGGTTTACTTCGCTTAATTCATAACCTATCACAGCGACAGCATATAAAACGTGTAACTGCCAAGTCCCTTGATGAAAAACTAACCAACGTTTACTTTTACTTGCAATTTCTCATTTAGAGTCAGGTCATTAATTTAGTTAATGAAACCTTTGGGGAAAATAAAATAACATTTTCTTTGAACAAAATTATAAATTAGCGTACTTAAAAGGTCACAAAGAGGACGGTTGTTGAACAATTTAACCATATTCGTTAAGTTGGCGAAACAGGCTTGATTCTGACAGATGAAGTCGGATTTACGCTTCCTGTGACTATATAGCAACGGTAAAAAAATGGATTGAATCAACGTTCCATATCATTCCGTAGAGTGGTTATATATGCACCTATTGCATAACAACAGATTAAGTTTAAATTGATTGTTTAACTAAAGCGAGTTGAGTTGATTAATTTACTGTACACTATTTTTCTGTACAATTTTTATAAAAAAAAATATTATCGATAGAATGGCGTCATGTTATTTGTTTTTTCTCTAAATGTATTATCCTTCCACCAATGCTTTTATTCTTGTTTAGTCTAGTTCCAGACAAGGATGTAACATATACGTTACAATATTTACGTTGACAAACACAGTCTATGAAGTGTCAGTTCTTGTTTTGTTTGGCAAATGACAATGAAAGCATTCCCCAGTTTAATGAGGTTGGGGTTTAGTACAAACCGTGTATGTATTGCCGATACATATTCGATAAAAAATAATACAATTAATAGTGTAATTTGGACCAGGGATTGAGTATGACGTCATCGCAGCAATTTTGGAATAGTGACGTCAAATCAAAGCCCCCCCCCCCCGTCAATTGATGTGAAATAGTCCAAGGAACAAATTTTATGTTGCTCGTACGTGAATTAGTGGATTCTTGGGCTTTTTTCAAGAACAACAAGATGGGTGGCGGTTGAAGCCCAGTATGGAAGACCAAACAGCTCTTTATGCAGTGTTCTTAGTTCTTTAATAGTTCTTAATTCATAGTCCTTAATTCTTATTTCTTCATAATTTGTACTTCGACATTTGTACTCTCAAATTAACATTTGTACTCTCAAATTAACATTTGTACTCTCAAATTAACATTTGTACTCTCAAATTAACATTTGTATCTTAAAATCAATATTTGTTTTACAAATAAGACATTTGTGTTGTAAAATGTATTTTTGTTTAATTTAATTGTATTTTAATATAAAGATAACATTTATTTGAGTAATCAAAAAAAATAAAATAATAATCTACATTTATATTTCATCATAGACACACAACGAAAAACAAATCTCGAACAACAAATTTCCAAATACAAATCGTCAAATAGAAATCTGGCAATAAGTTTCTGCAAAAACATTTCTCGAAATTCATCGAACAGGAACATTATGACGACATGAGCCGAAATCAACCTAGCATACAATAAGTCACAATACATAAAAGGAGAATCGAGCAAGCATATTTATACTAATATTTGTGACTGTCGTTTGTCTGTCCGTTTGTCTGTCTGTCTGTTCGGGGTTGGCGGCTACACTAGGTCTGCCCCGAGTCTGAAATTTGGGGTATAGGGGTAGCTCGGACCGGGGAGTAACATAGGCCAGGTGGCGTTAGTCTACCACTTCCGGTTTCGGAGTTATGACCCCCGAGCGAAGCCGGGTATCCTGCTAGTATACAATAAGAACAATCGCTCGATGGCCGTGACTTTAGTAAAATCACGTGCGTGTTATGTTTCTATATATATTATATTCGTTAATCTGATCTAGCATTAAATAAGATAAATTGAAAGTAGTAATTAGTAATTAGGTTATTTTTTGATAGCGACATATTTCTTTGGACAAACGAAATCTTCTATCTCTTCTAAATCATGTAATCATGAATGCGCCAGTAAAATAGATAACACTTGTATATTTAAAGAGTGATATACAAATACTTTTCGGTGAAGCATTATACGATAACTGGAATTTCGTATTAATATGCGTATTTTGACTTTTAAATTCCCCCCACCCCCTCACTAAATAGAAATTATATCCACTTTAACAAGGTACGTAAACATGAATATGTCAGAAAATATTTTACAATTTTGGAAATGTATGCATCCCGATATCATGTATTTCTTGTTATGGCAAGTACTTTGACCTTAAATACCCCCCCCCCCCATCACAACCTGATTTAATACAAGTTAGTGCCATTCAAATTTAAGCTTCTATCAAGATGTGTAATTATAAATGTGCCAGCAGTATATAAACAGATATCGAGAATTTCTTATTAAGATTGGTTTTTCAAGGTATATAAATATAAATGTGCCAGAAAATAACTTGAAAAGTTGTACGATATTAAACTCTATTAAAAGTGGGGTCTTAAATGTCAAAATACGGATCATACTACGACTTTCCAGATATCACACAGAATACCACCGAAAAGAAATTTCATTTACCTTTTCAGAAATGTAAATTACATTCTGGCACATTTAAAGATACATTATTGGAGATTAGATAAAGAGCTGGTAGTTCTCACTATAATAGTTAAAAACTAGATAATGTAAAGGGAATTTGTTGAAAATTTAGTCAAATTGATCCACTCTGAACCGAAATTTTAGCGATTGAATTTTCAACCTAGTCTCAATCATCATTACTAAAGTCAGTACGATAAAAAACATAGTCTCGATGATCCATTTCTTGATTTAATTATGAATGGAAGTCGAACAGGAAATCGGAACCTAATCCAATAAACATTGCAGGCTAGCGATGCCATTGAGAGTTGATTATGGTCTTATTTCTTCATTCGTTGTCGTATTTCGACATGTGTACACTAAAATTAACATTTGTATCTAAAAATCTATATTTGTCTTACAAATTGAAAATCAATCAACAAAATCGAAAATTAAAAATAGAAATTAGAAATTATTTTTCAAAATTGAAAATAAACATAGGAAAATTAAAAATAAACATAGGAAAATTAAAAAAAAAAAAAAAAAAAAAATGGTTCGTATTTGAGCTTCCGTACTTACCTGATCTAACCAAACATTAGTAGATAAAACCTGATTCTTCTCATCCTGTAATAATAATCAAGACAATATTCACCATTATTAATGTACTGTACAATATTAATGGAATCTTGCACAATCATTTAATCTATTAGGAGTTTTTGAAACATAAGGCAATCATCATGCACATTAAATGAAAACTCAAAAAGACTTAAAAAGATATGTATTCATTTTAAATACATGTACTTATTGAACTATAATCCAAAAGTTATTTATGAAACGCCAACAATGCAATTTAAAGATAAATTATAAAAACAAAATACAGTGCAGTATACATTTTAATGTTTCGAAACAGTATCTTTGCATATGCGGAAAAACAGATTCAGTGGCATTCCTTATTGTTTTTTTTTGTTTTTTTTTAAATTTTGCCATTTAAATTTTGTGATTTCACGGATAAAAGCATGGCAAACAAATGTATTTTGTAACACTGATATTGCCATAAAGACATTTGTCAATAACGAGGCACAACGAAAAATATAATCCCACTCCCCGCCTTTCCTTCACAAAAAAGAAACAAAAGGTTGCTTACTACATCTAAGACTTGTGTAAGAGTAACACCCAATTTTATAACGACAGGTTGGGCAGCGTCAAAAACCGGTCTTGTATTTGGATCATAGTTCACCATCAGTTTCTCTAGTAGTCTCTGTTCACCAGTTAATCGATTTATATCAATTGCGGTTGACGACCGAACACCTGAAAAAAGTTAAATTGAAATACAAACTTGAAAAAAGTCGCCTCCTCACAGCTTTCCGTGTCAGATCGCAGAACATTGGCGTTTGCTTTGAACATGCTCAAAACAAACGCCGTGACTGGGCGATCACTGGCAACCACGGCACGATATCTGCTGTTTCCACCACGCTTTTACCACGCTTTTGGCGGTCTTGACGCGTTATGTAACCATTTTCCATCGCCGTGGCAGCGCAGTAAGGACGCCACCCGGTCTTACGGGGGTATTATAAGGTAATGTTTTGATAACGCTCGCCACTAGAGTTGTTTCACGATTAAAATCTGATTAAAATCAAATGTTTCCTTTTATATTTTATATGATGTACTACATTACCATCTGTCATATATATTTTTTCAAGTCTGCGATCGGTTCTCGTGACTTTCTTGACTAATCAAATTATATATACTGATATGCACGGCTGGGACGAGAAAGCGTACATGGGTGTTGTACTGTGTGGTTTCGAAGATATAACCATTTCGAATACAATTGTCTGCTGATAAATGAAGCACGCTTCCTAGAAGAACATCGCGATAGTAAAAAGTGTACAAATTAGAAAAATATTTCAAAAAATATGTAACAAACCATATAACAACAGCTAAATCGTGCGAAGGGTTGTCGAAAAATTGACGGAAATTGTTGAAATTCAATAGGCTTCTTTTGTTTTACTGATTCAAATAATGCCTATAAATGTCATACAGATAGGATGTCGGGTGATAACTCTTGTCGATAGAACGTTTACATGGTTCATAAACAAGGGCCATAACTCTAGAAGTTATTAATGGAAATTGCTAAAAATCAATAGCCTTCTTCGTTTTACTAATGCCTGTAAATTTAATACAGATCGGATGATGACTTTAGACCTTAGAGCGTTCACAAGTGAAACAAGGGCCATAACTCTAAAACTTATTAGAAATTGTTGAAATTCAATAGGATTTTGGTCTCACTAATGTAAACAGCATAATACATAAATTTCAAAATGATGATATAATTGAAATTGTGGACGATGGACCGACTGACGGGCGTACGGAGGCGATGGCCATATACGACCACATTTCCATGTGTGCGTAAAAACGAATATATATTCTAATTTTAAATATGTTGCACATATAGAAACAGATGAATGTTTCTAGCCGAATAAAAGCTATTTTCAAACCGATACATGATATTTACCCTAATCACGAACCAATATGTTTCCGTAAAATCATATACATTACCCCCACCCCCTTACTGTTGTTATGTCTTTTATTAGTACACCATTAAATTCAGATCAGAGTTTTATGCCATGGGAAAATTTTAGATTATTTTGGCATGTAGGTTATTTAATTAATCTCAAGAGGTCAGATTATTCTCGTCAACATTTTTAGTTAAGCCATTTGGTAATTCTTATTTACTGCCAATCTATTGGAAATTCTACACGTAGAAGTGTGTTTCCGGCTCTGGAGTCTAATGCATCCGTATTTATATAAGGGAGATAATCAAATTTAGGGGCAAGTAACCCGTTTGAAACCTCTTATAAGTAGGTCCGTAAATAACTAGTTGGAATAAAGTATATTATATTTGATAGATTTAATAAGGTATCTATCATTAACAAATCAACAAAGGTGTTATAAAAACTAGCAGTGACCATCGATGGCCATAAAAAAGTTATTATTTGTAGTCATACCTAATTGTTAATCAATACTGAGGAAGATGAATTTTATAAGATCTAACCAATCCATCACAGTCTGCCGATATATCCACTTTAAGATATCGATTGCACATTTCGTGCAAAGGCTTTCCATCTATAGTTTAACTTGTGCAAATAATTTCAAGAGATCCCCTGGAGAGGATATGTGTGAATCTTGATAAACATTCTCATAACGTACAGTTTATTTATACAGCTTTAATAATGATGATTTTATCTGGACTTGTCTAAACGATACAGGTCGTTCAAACAAGACACTTATTTTATCATATTTCTCCATATTGAATTATGAAGGAAATACGACATCATCTTGTTTAATTTTCACTAGAAATTATACTCGTTCGACGTCTCAAGGAATAGGTTTTTTGTAAAATCTCCCTTCCTAATTGACAAATATTCTTTTCAGTAAATCCAATTCACAGAATTTTGTTTTATTAAAGGAAAAGAAAAAATCTCAACTTTCCTTCGCGATTAAACAATGAGGTACAATCTTTTTATTAATTTAAAGAAACAAATTCGCCCAGACCAGACAATTCATGGGCTTTTCTTAGTTGTTTGATTTAGTTTCAAAGCGGTGCTGTCCTTAAAGATGCGACCATACAGTGATAAAATGGGCATGGATTTTGTTGTGTGGGGCGCTGTAGAGTGCATTTCAATTTTAAAAATCTAAACTGCACCTGAATACAGTTTTCATAAGTTATATGAAATCCAAGTCTTCGTTAACAATTGTATTTAATTCCTTCGTACTAAAGCATTTTCGCAACTTTTAATCAATGAAAATAATAATCGAAAATGTCTGCAATGCAAATAATCTGCGATGCACTGTGACCAATTCCATATTAATCAATTCCACATTAACACATTTTTATAATCTACCGATTTCTAGACTGCTGTACTGTTCTATTGTTCCTGGAGCAGTTCTGTATTAAACTTGCTCTTTGATGTAAGCGGTGTAAGTTGATTGCTATTTGTCGATGTTCACCATAGTTCCAATCGACTGTCTCGACTGCTTTGTAAATATTAAATTGAACCAATTATTTCCACTAGTTAAAACTAGGTCTCCAATTTGAAGGGACAATAAATCTATGAGCGCACGTGTCTTATTGTAGATCTGGATGGTGAATAAATGTCTTTTTGAATATGTACGCCGATATTGACCTTCAAGATTATCTATAATAACCAGCGTATACTCGTTCATTCCTCACAATATATATCTATATTTGGAATGTAAGATTTAATTGCATATTATACATAACACCAATTCATCTATAGTTGTAAATATAAAAGGGCATGCAATTTCGGAGGATGATCATTTGGAACCCAGAACCGCACAAGGAAATTGCTCGATAAAATTTCCGTTCAAATATCGTGCCACGGTAATTACAATCTATTCGTCATTGCCATTTGTTCTCATGGACCCTGTTTCCAAACAGTAAGGCATTTATTTAAATGACGATAAACTGGCCAAAAACACCCAGATTGCTTAAAATGTATTGTCAATCGATTTAAAATTATATTTTGTATATATCGATTATGAAATGACCATTACAACTGATGGCCAATATAGCTAAGAATAGAATTTCGCTATCAACCAATTAAAATGAAATGACGAATGCAATAAAGTACATGAGACGTCATAAACTGCAACAACTTTTTTGTTAATAATATGAAATATTTAAGCAAAAGACAAAAGTACGCGTGGGTCATCTTTCAGTTAAGGTGACTAAAACAAAATCTAATTTCGTAAATTAAAGTTTTTAAGAAGCATAGCTATCGTTGTTCCATCATTCGCAATCTAAACTGATGGCTTTTATTTAGGTATCGTTTCTTTTCCTCGCATTTTTGTCATGCAACATACAACGCTTTTTATACTTTACTTGAATATCAAGTGTATCAAAAAACGATTATTTGCATGCCCATTGGGTGCAGGAATTGGTAATCACTTAAGATTTGCGGTTACTGATTTGAAAATTTATTACCTGTCTTGTGTCTGTAGTAATATAACCATTCACTATGATTAATCAACTATAATTTAATTTGTAGTGACTAATATTTCAAATTCGAAATCATATAGATCATTCTAGACGTGCAAAAGAAACAACATTATAAAAGTTTCTAACAAAGAAAAAACCCCAATGCGGTTTGGGCATATATGCTCGTTCAATCGGTCACGTACGTACTTTACAGCACACTATCTAAATAACAATCCCAAATATGTTAATACTATTGATTAATAATCATAACTTAAAAGTGTTTATTTATTTATTCTGCTTTTAAATATAGAAATAAGGTACGCAAAGATTACTCAGTAACAATCTCAAATATGTTAATATTAGTGATCAATTATCAAAACTTAAAAGTTTTTACTTTCCGTGTTCTGCTTTTGAATAAAAATAAGGTATGCAAAGTGATTATGTTTTAAACACAGTATTGAGATTGTATTAGAATAATTTAGTCATGACAACGTGAACTGAGTGACATGACTAAAGACAATTACAAGGTATTCAAGTATTTATCCGATCAGCAAAGGGTTATTATTTATGATATTAGTCAGGTAATAATTTGTTCAACAGACAACATGGCGCCGTGGTACATCCGTGGATTTACTTGCTATTAGAGTAAAATGTCTTTTAAAGATACATTCCCACAAAAGTATTTATCGGGTGGTTATTTCCAATAAAAGTATGACAATTTTGGTATATATGGAACGTAGACACCCAATCTTACTAGAAAAGTACTGGATTCCCCGAAAAACAACCACGGAGCGCGCACAATACAAAAATGTAAGGGTGTCACTAATTGGCAGTCTGACGATTAGGGCTGTCTGCTCGAGTGACGCTAAAGGTTGCACGCGCACACTGTCTGACCTCTTTTCATTAGGGAGCGCCTAATGTATATGTTGATAATATGATTGTAAGCGGACGTGGAAAAAGAGACAGATTTAAACATACAACATTATTCTGAGGGCAGGGCATAATCCCAGAATTTACTTAGGATTCGATATTTACGGTAAATGGACAGTGATGAAAGACAACATCGTCTTTTACATGCAATGAATTGTCCTTTGTAAAGCTTGGGGTATTTCCTCGAGAATACTGTGTTTTGAGAGAGATTTAGAGCAAATTGTTGATAAATTAATTAATTTGAATATATTTTTAGTCCAAATATATTATCAAATCACCTAGTTTGTACACGGGAATGCAGCATTAAGACTTCGAAAATTGTGGTTGAATTTTAATTTACTATTTTTAAATAGATATTTTAAACTA